GGTCTGCCGGGGCAGGGGGCTTGGATGTAGCCCCGGGTAAACAACATCGGGGCCCAAAGGAAGCAGAAAGAGCCGCCGGGGAATGAGAGGGAGGGGATCCCTGGAATGTCCCAATCGGGCGGCAGTTTGGCTGGAATCCGGGTTCACCCGTTTGTTTGTTAAAGGTTGATGAGCCTGGAGAAGGGAAGGCTCAGCGAGGGTCTCCTCCGTGTGTGTAAACACCCGCAGAGAGGGCAGGGCCGGGCTGCTCGGGGGTGCCCAGGCAGGACCAGGGGGCAATGGGCACAAACTGACACCCCCTGGAAGTGCCAAGGGCAGGTTGGATGGGGCTCTGAGCAACCTGGGCTGGTGGGAGGTGTCCCTGCCCATGCAGGGGTTGGGACTGGATGGTCTTGAAGGTCCCTTCCAACCCAAACCATTCTGTGGTACACAGGAGGCTCCCTCTGAACATCAGAAAACACTTGTTTCATACTTGTTTTATACAGAGGTGAGCAGGCACTGGTTGCCCAGAGAGATTGTGGAGTCTCTATCCTTGGAGATACTCAAAACCCTCTGTGCATAGTCCTAGGCAGCTGGCTCTAGGTGGCCCTGCTTGAGCAAGGGGGGGTTGGACCTGATGACTTCAAGAGGTCCCTGCCAACCTCAACCATTCTGTGATGAAGTGCAGGCTGCTACTGAATGGGCTGGTATTGTGGTTTCCCTGGCCATAGAGCCTCCTTCCTTCCTTTTTGCAGGGGGGGGGGGGGGAAAGAGGCATTTTTAAGATAAAGTTAGTTTCAGTCAACTCACTTCCTCGATCCAGTTCACCTCTTGGCAGAGGAGAAGGAAACAGTCAAAGGCTGAATGACCCATTTGTAGCTGTCACATTAAAGCAATCATAAAAGTACAATTTTGAGTCTGCTGAAATGCAGAAGAACTCTTACAAGGAAATTAGAAACAGGACATGGAGGCTGTAGGATGGTGCATAAATATTTTACATTTCTCATGCACATCTTTCCCACTCTAAAATTCAGACCTCAAAACCGAAGTTAAAAGCAAAACAAACTGCTTTACATACCACAGAAAAAACACAGAAACTTCTCCTGAGTCCAGGAACTGAGCTTGGGCTGGCTCACCAGCACCAGCCATCAACAGCTCTGTTATTTGTAAAGAATCTGGTTTCTTCATCTCTCGTTCCTTTCAGTTTTTTGGCCTGGTTTCTCCCAAACTTGCAAAATAAGTGTCGTTCTATCATTACCTGTACCTTTCAAGGAAGACCAACCTCTTTCTCCCATAAGATCCTTTCCACAAGGAGTCTGTGAGCCATTGTTTGGTGGTGTGGACAGGCCTGGACTGCTTTCGTGCAGCTGCTTCCTCTAGGCCCTTGGCACCCTTGTGAGCAACGTGTCTCCTGAAATCATTACTGCCTGTAATACATGTGAGTCTTCTCTAAGAACTCAAGACCTCCACCCATCATAGCTGATGGGTTCAAAGCAAATAATTCTGACAGTGCCTTTTATGTTTTGTTGGGGGTTTTTTGTTGTTTGATTTTTTTTGTTTGTTTGTTTCATTAGCTACTGTTTCAGCTTCCTGTCCTGATCCCTGTTCTGTCCTTACTCCTTGTGATCTCCCAGTTTTCTTGTGAACAGGCATGTCACATAGGCTTGCTTTATTTCTATCCACATTTTGATCTTCAGAAATTGGAAATTATTTTTTCTCTGATAATCCTGTGCTTGCTGGGTGTCTGACAGCAGCCTCCAGGGTCAGTAAAGTGAACCAAAATCAGAACTGAAGGCCTGGTGTTGGACTTTGGGATGGCTCTATTCCCACACCAAATGCTGAGATTGATTGGAAGTCCCAGCACTGCCTTTTATCTTTTAGAAGTTGTTTTTTCCACTGCCTGCAAATGAACTCTGGCTACAGGAAACAGATTGTGAAACTGGCTCCAAGGCCTTAACTTCAGATTTTTCAGCCCTTTGTTTTATAGATTTTAATGTAGCACTTTGGTAATGGAGATGAAGGTGGCTTTGTTTTTTCCAAACCAAATCTCTGCAGTTTTCCAATACTGTGTCAGGCTTGTCCATGTACTGCAAGACATTGTGGAAATCAAGGTCAAAGGCTACTAGTGGAGTTAATCAAGAGACTGAAGTCAGGGGAATGTGTTTGT